AATGAATTTATTTATTCTCTGGAAGATGTGACCCGAACACAGAGAAAGTTGTTTTGTGTCCTGAGTGTTTCTGTTCTTTTTGTTCATTCAATTGCAGGAGAAATACAGTAGCCTTGGGTGCAAAGCACAACTCTGGACAAAACACAGGAACAAATCAGAGTGCACTATGAATCAGAGAAAAGCAATGTTAGAGAGGACACAACGGGAGTTCAGGAAACACAATTGGATTTTCATGGAAAGAAAAAAACAGTTTTTTTTCTTACTGTCGAACAAAAGATGTCTTAATACTTTCCACCTTCCCTCAGGCTGCCTGTGGCTCTCAGCTTTGTAAAGCTTTAAAAACAAGTCAATAATAAATATTTTTATTTAACAAAAAAAGCCCCTGGTAATTTCTTAAAACAGTTGGGCACTGTAGTTTTTATGATGATAGTTAAACAATAGAAAATTGTGCATATTTTGGGGCCTATATTCTTCCGTGGAAAAATAACTTTCTAAAGTATGTAAACAATAAATAAATAGAAATAAAACTTACTTCTGAGCTTCTTTGGTAGCTTTTTTTTGTAAACATCTTGTGGCCTCAGCTCAAATGTTTATTAGCTGCTTGGTTTTTATAACAGGCTTTTGTTTTTGTTTGTAAATTCAAATTTTTATTTTTTTTCATTAGGGTGGTACACAATGGTTCTAGATGTCAAATGAGACATTCAGTCTCGACTAACAAAAATAATACAAACAGGATAATAGGGATCCGTACAAGAGGGGTACAGCACCAGCCTCAATCCACCAAAAAACAGTCAAAATAATACAATTAAATTTGAAGAAATAAACACATTAAAATTGACAGTAAAAATAATACAAAGTTGGCAGGGTAAGGCAAAACAAAAATCACACTTCCAGGCCCTCAGCCCATTTAAAAACAATTCCAGATATCTCCCCAGATTGGACCTTGAGCACAATCAGTCATTCTAGTCAACATAGATTCATAAGAGACAGTTTTTGTAACAGTTCTTGTAATACACAGCTCTGCAATCAAATGTGCGAATATGCAAAGGAGAGCTGGCAGCGTATCCTTAAAGCTGACAGTGAGGGCAAAAGTCTGATCAGTGAGAAAGAAGCAGAGGAAATTTTAAACACAAAGACATATTATAAAAAAGTGTAGAAGATCAAGTGTTTCCGTGGTTACACAAATAATTTATTTGCATGTGAAATGTTTTACTTTCAAGGTGCATTTATTTTAGTTCAATTCTCTCTTAAATTCTTATTTTTGTTCTCGATATTTGAGAAGTTTTGTTTGATTATAGTGAATTGAATTCCGTACAGCCTGTTTCCTGTTCTCCACTCCTCTCTCGTCTCTGCTTTACTGCAAGAAAGCAGTGATGGCCAAATGAAGCTTCATGAAGCATTTTCTTTATTTTCTGAGCCCACTAGATGGCGCTCATGGTTTAAAGAGAGAGGCTCAAAGAATGGCAATTCAGTGTGCTTTCAACCTTTTGTTGAACAAAAAGGAAATGCTTCATGAGGCTTCATTTGGCCATCACTACATGAAAGATCGTTCCCACTTTGTCCCTGTTAAACCAACAGTGTCCCTGCATGTGCGGGATGGCTGTGGTTTAGAAAGTAGAGCAGGTTGTCCTCTAATCATTAGATTGGCAGTTTGATCCCCAGCTCCTCCCGTCTGCATGATCAAAGCGTCCTTGTGCACGATACTGAGTGAAGTGAAAAAGTACTTTGAGTAGTCAGATGGCTAGAAAGGTGATATACAAGTGCATCCATTTACCATTAGTGTTTTCAGGACACGCTCTCTGTCTTTGCCTTCCTCCTTTCTTCATCCTCTCACTCAACTTTTTTCTTTCATCCGTGTTTCCCTCCTTGCTTGCTAGATTTCTAATTTCAGTTTCACCACTTCAGTCGTCTGTGAAGAGCCTCAGGAAATCCACTTGAACTGATTGAGTGGTGTAAAGCCCATACCTTGTAAAAGTCAGCTGTAATTCAGTCGTTTCTTAATCCATGCGTGCTTTTGAGGATTGTGTGAGCACAGGTTATGCGGCCATGATGGATCTCATCTTTCGCAAGGAGGCCAAAATCTAACTCTGCTTACTTCAGTGGTGATATGCTGTATGCTAAAGTGTTAGCAGCCACACCAGAGAGAGCTGTCAGGGATCTGGTGCGAGCTGTTTCTCATGACATAATGGTCAGATTCCCCCCAAAAATGGGAGTAGTCCTTTACACTGAAAGTTTGGTGGTCTGTTTGGCTTTTGAGTTGAACACAGTGTTGTATGATCACCGGACCGTCCCTGGTCGGCCATGAGCAGTTTGCGCTCTGTGCTTTTTTTGGATGTGTTTTAGTGCATTGTGGTAATCTCCCCCGAGCTTCGTAAATCAGCATCGCTGAGTCAGATTATCAGATGGTACACGCTGAATTGGAAAACATCCAGGCGGAGCATTTAGATGAAATGTCATTTGGCCTGTTAACCTCACAGCTCGATGCGTTTCAGATGCTCTCGGAGGAAATCTTTTACAGTAGACACAGACTGTGTGATGGTCAGCAACAAATGGCTCTGATGCGTCTAAAATATGTCAGACTAATCCTTGGTTTTCACTTCACCAATTCGGGACAGACACACACACACACACACACACACACACATACAGATTAACTCACTCATGTGTGCATGTGTCCACAAAGACCCACAGTACAGTTGTACACATTGTACAGTGCACTCATACATTGATGTATGCTTACATACGTGATTATGTTACACACATTATGTAACACACACACATAGAAGTGGAGCACAAGCGAGTGAGTGTTCCAGATTTATTCGAAGATTTCACAATAAATACTTTCTTATTATGTATTAGACTTAAAACAATAAACTGAAGTTAAATCCTCTTTTGTTGACATTTAATCCTACATTGTACTGTGTGTGTGTGTGCATGCACATGTGTGTGTTTGTACAAATCACATCTGTCATCCACAAAAACACACATCGCTGTGTCCTGTGTCTTAACAGAAACACGTACTCACAGCTCACTGTTTTACAGTTTGGTTTTGGCCGGCTGGTTGACTGACTGACGCTCTGTGATAACACCAGCGTGTTTCTGAGGCATCGTCTCTCATGAATACATGAACACAAGTTCCATGAATATGATCCACCGAGCGAAAGCCCTCCAGAGGGAGGACGAGTCCTGTAAATCTGTCTCTGATTACAGTTCCTGTGGCAGTAATTAGAATCAATTGGGGAATCAATCAGTCCAATATAATCTGTTTGACAACCTGATAGGAGACATTTCATTTATTATCTCAAGTTATTTACTTATGTACATGGAACAAGATGATAAAACGTTCCCTAAAACATGTCTGCTGTTGGTTTGACTTGTCCTTCAGCGCAAACATCCTATAAAATATGCATTAATATGTTTTATTTTTCAACACTGATGGAGGGGACGACACCAAATTCAACCTACTTATTGGCTGAGTGAGTATTTGAGGTATTGACGTTCTTTAAGCTTCTGTCACTCGCACTCCTCTTTGTGACAAAATCTCGTCTTACAAACAGCCAAAAACATTTGAAACACCATGATCCAGAGTTTCCCCGTCGGGGCAGGTGGCTGCAGAGCTGTGCAAAGCAGCTTTAGGCGTGCAGCAACACCTCCAGTGATTAAAAAGGCTGCAAATGCTGTGTCACAGCTGTTAATGAAAACAGGCATGAATGGACCTGACCCAATAGCTTATGAATGAACATGAGACCAGGCATCTACCTACACATGTGCACATCACCATGCATGGACACACACACACACACACTCTGCGAGATATGGCCAGATGGTGTAATCCTTCAGTATTCCCTGTGTTTCACATTTTTCCCCTCCTGTGTTGGGATTATGCTCTTGTCCAATCGGATTTCGGCCCACTCTCCAGTGATGATGTGAGATGAATGATGAGCGAGGCAGGCGTGCAGTAGGCACACCGTACGTCGGGTTGTACAACACACCGGGTTGGATGTAAATGCTCCACTTTGCCAAAACCGCTGTGGCTGCCATTTTTAGAGCCGGTCACTGACCATCACTGTCCAGGTAAGACGCGGGACAAATCAGAGCCAGGTACACTGAGATATTTAAAGGGACTATTAAAGATCTAAAGGCTGCTTCAGGCAGTGGCCAAGGTGTCCATGTTTGGAGGAAACAAATATCGACTCGAGGATTATGGCAACAAACTAAATAGCTTTCTTAAGTTCTGAAAAAAGCTGATGCACAACATGAGCTGGGATGAACAGGACGAGGGGTTGTATGGTGTAGACGGACAGATTAAATTGGATTTAAATGATGTTTAAAATGACAACAGGGCTGCAGTATACTTCAGAGATAGTTTTGAAAACATTGCAAGGCCTTGTGTTTGTTTGCTGATTTTAGCATCCATTATACCTCCTGCTGTGTACCATTAAAAAGTCTTAGTAGTTGGAGCGTTTTAAAATAAGACAACAATGCCGTTCATGTCTTAATGTGTGTGTCTGTATTTTGATGTTCTGAATGTTCCCAACCAAACTAGCATCTTATTCTGACCTCCAGTCCTGCTGCTATGCACAGTGTATCCAGGCCCGTAGACCTGGCAGAAACCTCCCAGCCACTTACCGTCATATGAAGTCTAATTTCACGCTTACTTAGCTGTTTTAGCCCTCGTGTGGCAGATTAGCAAACGTGCGCGGCCTCATATGGAGGAGAGTGTGTGCGCTGATTAAATGCAGATGCACATTTAATGAGGAGAGAGAATGACAAAGTGTGTGTGAAAGCGGGCTGGTGTAATTAGCGCGTATATGCTCATGCACGCTGTGACGTGCGTCTGTGACAGCGTCTCTGCACACTGATTTATTGTGTGAATTTTACAGGCATTAAAACAATGATTGAAAGTTTGTGTTGTGTGCGAAGAAGCATTTCTGCTGCAGTCTACACCTGTGCTGTACAATCAGTCCGACTGAGCTTTATCTGTCTCTCTTCCCACGCAGGTCAGTGCTTCCTGTGCATGGTGGACGTGGTGCCAGTGAAGAACGAAGATGGCGTGGTGATCATGTTCATCCTCAACTTTGAGGTCATGTCAGAGGAAGCACTCCGAGACCACAAACAGGAGCTCAACCACCGCCTGCCCACCTGGCTTGTCACTGGTAGCTACTGACTCAGCTCGTTTGCTTTGTTTGTTTACTGCTCTGTGCTAATCAAGTCAGGTTTGAGACACTCTGTCAGCAAGTATCCCTCCTCTCTCTGCCTCCAGGTTCTTCTTCGTTCTTGTTTATTATCCCGCGCTGTTGGGCTATAATTACTTTGAATGTTTTTAGTTTAAATAAAAAGCTCAGAAAATCATTAGTAATATAATACTGCTTCTCTTCTGTTAAGATACAGAATGTGATCTTTTAGGACACTCACCCACAACAGTGGAGGTAGCAGAGTACATTATGTGCACAGACTGTACAGAAAGCTAAAGAACGTCCTCCTGTTGATTGACACACCACTTTGTGGTGGTAGAGAGGTCGGCTTAGGCAAATAGCCTCCTTTTGTTACGTAACCGTAAGAGCACACCCAAAATCTCACTTGTTTGAGTGCGCACCCTTGTGGTTTGAACAAATAGGCCAAACGAAAAAACGGAGCCACTTTCATCCTCTAAAATTTCAGGCAAGTTTCAACTGAGGTCCAACTCCAGTATACACGTATTAACAAGGAAAAATGTGATTTCCGGGTGATGACTCCCTTAAAGGGAAATTTCGGTTTATTTCAACCTGTCTCCTATCGGCCGCGCTTTGGAAAGCAGAGCTAAATGGTAAACAAACATGGCAGCACACCGGTAAGGTAAGACAACACGTTTACATGTGGTTTTCTATATGTTCTCTGACATTTATCCTAACGATATGAGGCAGTCTTTGTGGAAAAAAAGCTTGTTTAGTGGACTAACTTTGCACTTGAAGGTTGCCTGTTCACTTACGTTTTATCGGGTCTGATGCTACTATGCGCCCCGGCTGTATCTAGGCTAACGGCTAACATGCTAACTATTATTTTTATGTCACTAGTCACTTGAAACAAATTTAGGACGATAGGAGACAGGTTGAAATAAACCGAAATTTCCCTTTAATAAGAGGAATTTAAAGCAATTAAATCCTCAGTTCCTCTCTAGCAGCTAGGCAATGAAGACTGTAAAAAAGACGCGTCTCCATGCTTCGTACTCCGTACCCTAAATTAACTTTTTGACTCACCGACCACAGGGACTAGTAGATGAAAAAATCCACCGTCCAAGCATGTTTTTTACTAGTCATTATAATAAATCGCCTTTTTGTATCACATATGCAGTTGTTTATGAAAAAAAACAAGGTATGATGTCGAATAGAAACTTGGAGAAGACGCCAGAGCAAGTTTTGAACCAAAATTATTTCAATATATGGAACAACTCATAATCGCAGCCTCAGCATGTCAAAAAGTTCCCTCTGGTAAACAGTGATGCAGCGTGTACGTGTAGGACTTTATTAAGAATTATGAAAGGTAAGAACGGACGGAGTGAAGCTAATGTGCTGCTGTTGACTATTTATTTCATCTATTTCAGATCACAAAACCGCCATGTTATTATTTAATAACCTTCATAAATATGGGCGCTGTGGTAGCTAGCACCAGACCACGGCAAGTGATAGTTTAATGGATCAGCTGATGTCCTGTCCAGTAATCAGTTCCTTAAAACTAGGACTCTTGAGACAGTCAGTTTTGCAGCACTGTTAAGACATGAATAAAAACACAACTGTATTATGTGTGTGTCTCAGCAGGTGAGCAGCAGAGCAGTAGTGATGGCCAAATGAAGCCTCATGAAGCATTTTCTTTATCTTCTGATCCCACTCGTTGGCGCTCATGGTTTAAAGAGAGAGGCTCAAAAATGGCAATTCAGTGAAGCTTTCAACCTTTTGTCGAACAAAAAGCGCCATCTAGTGGCGTCCATTAAAGGCAAAAGCCCCAAATAATAATCTAAAACAAAACAAACAAAAAAAAAAAAAGCGCCATCTAGTGGGCTCAGAAAATAGAGAAAATGTTTCATGAGGCTTCATTTGGCCATCACTACAGAGCAGCGCGCCCATAAATGATGCCAAAACGTAGTAGATGCTCTTAGCGTATGTTTTTTATGACATGAATGTGTTGGTATAAACATTTATCCGTCAATGTTGTGCATTGCCTTCCAATATTTACATGGCAAACAGAAAATTTACCCACATTTGGTGTTAGTTTCGTTAGTTTGTACTACTCCACTGCTCATTTGGTTGTGAACCTCACCTCAGTGAATTCGCAACTTGATGTAAGTCGGTTTAAACTGCAGGTTATACACAAGTTAACCCACTAGTCATAGTTTTCTGCAGTGTCAGCAGTACACATAAAAATGGCCACTGTTCTAACAATCATCCTGTCAATTCAAATGAGGAGGTCAGTTCTACTCTCGTTCTATATCTATGGACGCAGTGATTAAAATCCTTGTCCAACATGCCTTCCTGTTGATTCACCTTTCCTTTTCAATAACTGAAGTGGACTTAATATGTTCAGTCAGTGAGAAATGCCAACCAGCCCTTGAATTCGTCTGGAGCCTGCAGAACGACCAGGTGGTCGTGATATTACTCCCATGAATATCCTGGCTATCTGTGTTGGATCAGGTTTGACAAAAATTATTATTTTTTTATTGATATGAGCGTTCACTGAATGTTCCAGAGGGATGACCCTGGGGAACAGCTTCTGAAGTAGGACAGTGATAATAATTGGAATCAAGTCTGTCTCTAAACCAGATTTCTTGTTTTTTTAACTTTGTGGATAAAACCGAAATCTAATCAATGATGCTGTCCTTAATTCCTGTGGATTGTTTTGAGCCTGTATTTTGAATGTCTGTTAGACTCATCCTGTTCAAATCTCCGCCTCTCCTAGCATGCCCTCCGCTACCTAGAATGTTCTCCCATAAATTGAATCACACTTTCCTTTTGGTTTGCCACTCTGTTTCTCTTCCCTGCCACAGTTTAGGATTGGACCACCTGTCACTGTGCAGGCAATGAGTCTCTTCCTCCATCTTCTCTCCTCCAGGTCGTCCACGAGGCTTCAAGCTGCGTCTTCCCCTGCTGCACTCCTTGTCCAACAGCAAAGTGTCTCTGAACGACGCAGAGGCCGGTCGCATTCCCACCGCTACGCCCCTGCCGCTGCACCCAGAGCACCAGAGTCAAGAGTCCCTCGGCCTGGGGGAGTTTCTGCCTCTGCCCCCTTTACCACTAAACCACCAGGAGCAGATCAGTGGAAGCAGGTGGGCCATGAATTGCTATAAGGACATGTTTGGGATGTAGAGATTTTACTGGTTATGTGGAACATGTCTCGCTAAGGGTGTGTGCAGTGTGTGTGTGTTTCCCCAAAATATTCTGCTGTTCTTAAGTCTGATGAATTTTTCTCTGGCTTTGGTTCAGAATGTTTTTGTCAAGAGACTTAGTTAGGCTCATTAACTTCTAAATTGGACTTTTGCCGTGAATATAATGCAAATGAAATCCTATAAAATGAGAATACGCCAACGTATTCCACAAAATCTTCACTGTAAGTGTAAGTACATAATACGTGGATTGTTCACTTTATTGCGCCTCAATTTAATTTCTTTTTACGGGCAAAGCAAACTAGTCTTGAATACTTCCTGTAAGCAATTCTACCTGTCCATTTTCCTTAGATGGCCAAATGAAGCTTCATGAAGCGTTGTCTTTATTTTATGAGCCCACTAGATGGCACTTTTTGTTCAAGAAAAGGTTGAAAGCACATTGAATTGCCATTCTTTGAACCTCTCTCTTTAAACCATGAGCACCATCGAGTGGGCTCAGAAAATGAAGAAAATGCTTCATGAAGCTTCATTTGGCCATCACTAATTTTCCTCCTACAATGAGGTCAAAGGTCACTGCTGGCTAAAAACAACAGCATTCTGTTTTTCGTAAGGACACAAACTTGTCAAGTATAGTTCCAGACAGACTCTTCCAAATCTGTAACATGCTGTTAATACCCATTATGTTCCCTTCTGTTCCCTAGGTCAGCGCTACAGAGTTGGCCAGAAGACCGCCAAGAGGACCAGCGCACCTTATTGGGCCCTGACCCTTCTGTACCCCCTCCTCCTCCTCCTCCGCCTCCCCACAGATCCCACCTCGCGGGTCCCCTCACCCAGTCGTCACCTTGCGTAGCGCCTCACCACCGCCTCAGCCTCAACCCGGACGCCTCGGGCTCCAACTGCTCCTTGTCGCACAGCCGCTCGCGGGAGAGCTTCCACAGCATGCGTCGCGCATCCTCCGTAGACGAGATTGAGGCCATGAGGCCCGACTGGGACCGAAAGAACCGCAGAGCGAGTGTCCGGCCCGGCAGCAGCAGCACGGGTAAGACAGAGGAGGTGGAAAAAAAACAGGCATCCTTTTCTGTGGGCCCTTTTAGGGCTGACATCACAATGACGTCATTTTATTAGCTGGAGGCTAAACCTGCCTCTCCCCCACAGGGCTGTAGGCTACATAGGAGTCTTAAATGTGGTCTTGTTGTGTTATTGGGAGCCAGAATAGAAGGAGTCATGGCTCAAAACCAGTTTGTGCCAGAGTGTGCTCCAGCACTCTGAATGAGTGTCTAAAACAAGCTAACAGGTTTCGCTAGCTACTGTTAGCTAATGTCTGTGGAGGTATTTTTGCCTCCAGCTAAGCCCCGCCCACCAAAAAACATCACACAGTTTACTAACAGTAAAAGGGTCCATTATCCACTTTGATTTTTACGTTACTGTCTGTGTGTGTCTGCAGGTGCAGTAAACAGTAAGTCCAACATATTGAACTCCACGTCGGACTCGGACCTCATGCGGTACCGCACCATTTCCAAAATTCCTCAGATCACCCTCAACTTTGTGGATTTCAAACCTGACCCACTCATCGCCCTGCCCAGCGGGGAGATGGACATCATAGCTCCCTGCAAGCTCATCGACCGGACGCACCATGTCACAGAGAAAGTCACACAGGTAGGACGCAGTGGGGGGAAAAGTTGCGCTTGTGTTGTTGGTGAAGCAGTCTTGGCTGCTGAATGGTTTTTGTGTCAGACTTTATCTGCTCTTTGTTGTAGTTAGCACATAATGGACTTGGGGGTTTGGGAGTGTAAATGTGTGTGCTCGTGTACTGTATTGATTCTAAAAAGCACAGTGGTTTAGTGGTTAGCATTGTCGCCTCACAGCAAGAGGTTTCCTGGTTTGAATCCAGGATGGGGATGCAGTGGATGGACTGTGCCGAGTTTGCATGTTCTCCCTGTGTCAGCATGGCTTTTCTCGGGGTTCTCAGTCCAAAGATGCGGGTTGTCCGTAGGTGTGAATGTGAGTGTGAATGGTTGTCTGTCTCTATGTGTCAGCCCTGTGATAGTCTGGTGACCTGTCCAGGGTGAACCCTGCCTCTCACCCAGTGTCAGCTGGGATAGGCTCCAGCAGATAAGCGGTTACAGAAAATGAATGAATGAATGAAAGAATATTCATGTATTGCCTTTGGACAGATATGTAAATTAGTGTCTGCCAGCTACCTCCACACCCTATAATCTGACAAGTCCTCCTGTGGAGATAATGCTTGTAGCGCCAGCTCAAGTCAGTGAGGTTGAGATTGATTGAGCTCTGATGAGCTGATGATGGAGGGTTGTATGGCGGTATTCCAATCATTGGTGATTGACTTTGGGAGGAGCAGAGAAAGGACGTATGGGACATGTGAAGTTGCACTTTCATTTCCTCTTTGTCTCTCGAGCCTGTGCTCTCCAGCTCCCATCTCCCTCCACAGTCAGAGCTGCACTCACTTCCCCTCCTCTCTCGCAGGCTGCAAACACATCACCTCCTTCACACTAATTGCTCTTAAAAAAAGCCTCTACTTCTCTCTGTAGATGTTCTGTCTGAAGTTCTGTCTCACATAGTCGGTTACAGGGACACTGTGTACATGTCACTTCTTATAGCTGGCTGCATTTGGTGTGATAAAGTAGAATACGCAGTAAAGTGCAGGATATCTTAAATTGACAAAAAAAAATGCATCAGCTGTGATTTTATATTATTAAGATTTTAAAATAGATGAGTCTTGAGTTAACTCTGCGGCTCATTTTGAAAAATGATTCGTGTCTGGCCACCACCTGTTTTTTTTTTTTTCACCGCATCTGCTCAAAAAGCATTTGTCAAGGTAATTCAGTTGAGGAGGCACAGAAGAGGCGACCATATGGGACTTCTGGTGAGAAGGACAGTCTGCTTTGACTTCATCATTTTACCAAAGTGTTTCTTCTGGTGCTCACAAAACAGCCACATTTAGCAAACAAGTAAAGAAGGAACCTGAGATTATAAAACTTGTTTTGGGATGTCGCTGTCAGAGGAGAGCTTTGCTGTGGGCAGTGGCTGCACAAACAAGGTGGTTGATAGGGAAAATTGAATTGAGTATTATATCTTTCAGAGAAGCAGGTTAATTAGGTTCCATCACTGAGCATTGTGCTGCCTTGTTTCAGATTGTTCATTAATAATAATAATAACTAATCCATACCCACTGAGTACAGCATACCATACCATGACTTAAAAACAACAACATTGGTCCACAGGGAGAGCCACAGCGATCGGTCGCATTTTAGCCATTTTGAAGCATTTTTCTGTTGTTATAGCGCCACCCAGTTGCCAATTAGAGTTAAATTTCTCCAGTCACCTTGAGGCGTCCTGTTCTACATATCTACCAAGTTTAGTAAAAATCCATATGGCGGTTAGGCCTAGATAAGAAATGAGCTCTCTAGCGCCCCCATTTTGTTTGATGGGGTCAATAATGGAGGGGTCCCCTCAGATTATGTGTGGTCATATGCCTACAAAGTTGCGTGGTGATGGGTGAAACCCTTGAGATGTTATACACCTTTATGTGATGAGCCACGCCCTCCGCAATATTCATTGCCTTATAGAAGCTCAGTTGTAGTAAGTTTTCCAACTTTTGCCAAGAGGGAACTTTAGATATTGGTCCCTAGATTATGTTCACCCAGTTTCATGCAGATCGCTCAAACTTCCTAGGAAGAGATCCATTTGAAGTGATTTTCAAAAAATTCAAAATGGCGGAAAATCTATATAAGCGGAAGTTATGGGTTCTTGAGGCAAATGTGTTCCTCATGAGGAGAGGCATCTCTGTGCAAAGTTTCATGTCTCTACGACATACGGGGCATGAGATATGCACATTCAAAGTTTGCAATTTCAATCGGTTGCTAAAGCGCCCCCCTTTGGCCAATTGATGTAATATTGCTTCATTGGCATCCTCCCATGACCCTCTACCACTGTGCCAAATTTCACATGGAAATTCAGTCAGTGAGGAGAAAAACGTGGAACAGACACACAGACAGAGTTTTCAGGAGGTTGGCATCAACACACCTGAGTGTGGGAGGGAGTCTGCCAGTGAAGGAGCTCAGACAGGTCTTTGGGAGTCAGGTTGTGGAGGGCTTTATAGGTGGCAACGAGGAGTTTGAGGTGGACACCCTGAGGGACTTGGAGCCAGTGGAGGTTATGAAGGATGGGGGTGAAGACGAGCAGCAGAATTCTGGATATATTTTTGTTTCTTTTGGATGATGAACCATAGAGGATACTGTTGCAGTAGTGATGAATGCCTGAATGAGAGTCTCTGCAGCTGAAAAGGAGAGGGATGGGCGGATGTGTGTGATGTTTCTGAGATGGAGGAAGGCTGTTTTGGAGATGTATTTGATATGTTGGTCAGAGGAGAGGGTTTGATCATAGGTGACACCAAGGTTATGGACATAGGGGGAGGTGAGCACAGTGGAGCCATCATAAGAGCCGCCATAAGAGATCTGGGATTGATAATGATGAGTTCTGATTCGTCACAGTTACATCTGAGGAAATTGGTTTAAAGCCAGTATTTTATTTCAGTGATGAGTCCTCCAACAGTAGAATAGACTTATGACACTGATTTTCTAAAACCTAGTGTCAGAAGCTAATGGCACCCTTTTTCATTCCACACTTTAACATTTTCATGCTTCTGCCCCGGCGACAGCTCTTGCTGGAAGCATAATGGGCCTCATTCACCCATATTTTCCCAAAGTTCTTTCTTAAATTTGCTCCTTAAAAAAATCTTACAAAAAGTCAGACTCATAATGATGATGTGCTCTTAAAAAGCAGAAATTTTCACACCTGTGTTCTTATAATGATGAATCCTCTTGTGCTCGTAAGCTGAAAGCACATGCAAGGTGGTTCCTAATTAGCATGGATATATACGCCCTGCAAAACTCCATTAAAGGGCATAAGACTGCAGGGCTGTGTGCACAGACACTGAAGAAGAGGGAGTTGAATAATTAAAGTACAGAATGCCCAAAGGAAAGTCTGAGGAGGGTGGAGGAGCGCCGGACTCCAGACATATTAAAGAAAAGTGTTTGCAGTGGAGCAGGAAGTATCTATTGAACGAGCTGTCATATTTAGCAGCACCGATAGTGGATCCAAAAAACACAAAAAAGATGGGATGCTAAAAATATGCGTTAATCAACCACCCGACATGCAAACTGTAAACTTCATGCATTCTGTAGCAGAACTTTCAGGACTGAGGACACAGAGGAACGCCACGGTGCTATCCAAGCTGTGTGTGTTTAGAGAGAGGCAGAAAGACGGGGAGAAGGTGGAAGGTGGACTATTTTAAGTAATGTCTCTGTAACTCTTTAAAAACTTAGGCCAGTGGTTTTCAAACTTCTCGTGCCCAAGACACACCAGAGGGCAAGCCAAACTCTCAAGGCACACCTGTGTTTATATTTGTGCACATTATAGGGATGTAACGATATGGAAAATTTGATATCTCGATTATAGTGACCAAATTATCACGGTAAACGATAATATTGCGATATTTTTTTAAGCGCTGTAAAATGTCCAAAAAATAGATATATTGAAATAACTTCACTAAATCTTGTAACTTCCTTATCATACTAAAATGTTAACAGCCAAAATCTTATATTAAAATGAAACTTTCACATTAAAGGGGCAAGGGATTGGCACAGCAACAGAAAATTTTATTTTAAATTAACAAAATATGTAAACACATTACAGGAGCAAAGCTTATTTGTCTGGTGCATTTTAACAGTCAGCAAAATATGTAAACAATTTATATATTATATTTATTTATTAGCAAGAGAGGAAAAATATATATAAAACAAAACAATGCAAGAGAAGAACAAAAGACATACAGTATATAGAATAGATATCACAAATGTGCAGGAGAAACCATAAAAACCCTAAGGGCAATGGTCATCATTACACAAAATAATTCACACATTAGAAGTGTGCATGTGAGTCAGAGGATTACCTGTATGAGAAAAGGAGTGCATGGTCTTGGTCAAAGGTTAACACGGCTGCGTTTTATCTTGTTTCCTTGAGCTTATGTCAAGAAAGCATAACTGGCCGTCTATATCGATTCTAGCTCGCCATACAATAACCATAATCACAGTGATTCAATCATAGTTGATCTCAATTAGCATTACGTTATGTCAGTTTATATTCTGTCGGCTCCGCTCAGTGTTTTCAGCTCCGTTTCGTTTTGAAACACTTAACGTTAGCAACATAGCTGCTAATACGGCTATTAGCTACTCAGCTAGTAGCTCCTAAGTGTCTTAAACGAAAACGGAAAACCTAGTCGCCGTTTAGGAGGACACATACGGCTCAAATGTCCCGTATACGTCGAGAGTTACACATTATGACAATCTTAGTAAAACCGAAGTCCCTCACACAATAACTGACGTTTGCATAGCATAACTTGCATTGGTTGTAAAGCTGTGGATGATGGTCACGGAGATGAGCCAGCAGATTTGTAGTGTTGCTACCCTTCGTAGCAACTTTCTTTCTGCATGTTCTGCACACAGGATAGTTGTCCTCCACCAGCTGTCCCTCGGCATTCTTCAGAAACCCAAAGTACGCCCAGACCTCAGACTTTGTGCGTTTAGTTGGGGGGAAAATGTCCTGAGTGCCGGTATCACCACCTTCCGCCATGTTTT